AGCTGTCTGGTTGGCCCGGATCCCTAACTCTCGGAAGATGAAGTCACCACATCAATCTTTATCCCAGTCATAATGAATGCAATGAGAAGAGCTTTCTCAATGCTTATGTCAGTTTCATTTTGGGACGGTATCAATCGAGAGGTGACAAAACTGAGCCAGAATCTACCTTCTCGTGTGAGATCTTCCTTGAATATTTTATGTTGAGGGTCAATCCAAGCAGGGGTCCCCTTGGCTATCACTAATGCTATCCAACTACGCTTATTGTCTCTGTTGTCCCATTTGGTGTCATACTCCGCTGTGCCCAATCTCCAATTTGGGAAGTAGAACTTATTTATGGTGTCACTGCTACAAAACACCTGCTTCCCCCGAACCAAGATAGTATCACAGAAAACTTTGTTGCGCTTGTGGTGAGGGGTCTTGGAGGCTCCATAGGATGCATAAAATTCATGGACCACTGTATCATTGTAATCATCCGGCAGCTCAGTGAAGCACTCCCAGTTTCTAGCCTTGATGTTCTCCAGTATGTGAGGGTACTACTCCTGTAGCCCGTTCAGACTTAGTTATTTTTTGGCAAGGATTTTACGTTTTGTTAGCCCTTCTCTAAACAGATCCCTAGAACCTTCGACCCTAAACCTGAGTTGGAAATCATCTCCTTTTTTTCTTCTTGCCTCATTTTGTATGTCAACTGATGGCAAGGTCTCCTCCTCATCAGACTGGGAGGGATGTGTAGCAGTAGGGTCCGGTCGTGAACGTTTGGCTAGTTGTGCTTGACGACTAGTGGACGCCCTTTTCTTGGAAGAAGATGTATGTTTATTGGGAGCCATATCTGCACAAAATGAAGTGTGAGAAACATAGCAGGCATCAGAAGAAAGAAAAAAAATTTGCACAGAACACAAGTATGTGACAGGTTATGCGGTCGCATAACCACTATGCGGACTGCAAATCTGTCGCAAAACTTTTGGCTACTGAGAGTAAAAAATTATGCGATGGCTTATGCGATCGCATATCCATTATGTGGTTCGCATAACCATCGCATAACTAAATACTTGGAAAGTATATTAACACTATGCGATCGCAAAGTCCACCGCAAAGATGGATTTGCGATCGCAGAATTGCCGCAAACAACATGTTAAAAAGCCATGAAACTATTTCAGTATGTGGTGGCTTTGCGGTACGCATATCACTTATGCGATCGCAAAGCCGCCGCATTTTGTAATCTTCCTCAAGTGACCTAGGGTTTCCTATGCAATAAAAATGCGGACCGCAAATTGACTATACAGTCCGCAGAAGTCATCGTTCTCAACATTTTGAACTCCACCCTCAACAATGGCGAACCTAATTTCATACCCAACACCCCAAGCCTAACTACTTATCCAAGAACCCCCTCACATTATGAACAAAATACCCAAAATACGAAGAGGAAAATAAAATGAACAAAAACTAAAGAAAAAAAAATAGGAAAAACACAACGAAATTTAAACTAAACTTTACATGGATGAAATCGGGAGAGGAGAACATACCAGTGATGGAGAAATGAGCACACTTGGGAGATGAATTCAACAGGTGTTGTTTACTCTTTTCGATTCTACTAGCCGTTTTCCTTTCTCTTTTTTTTTTCATTTTGTTTTATTTTCTTTCTGATAAAAAAAAAATTCTTTTCTTTTATTTTTTAAGTGTTTGAATGCTGGTGATATGCGAGGGGTAGGGATAATTACCTTTGCAACATTTGCGGTGGACAAGTCATTGCATAGCACCTTATGCGACCGCATAAGTGTTATGCGGTAGGTTCTATTTGAGTTGCTCATGGACACAATGCATTGAATTTGTGAGATTGCATAACTGAAATGCGGTCCACAAAGTGCACATCTTCGCCGCATTTCTACCACAAAATTTTGCCAAACAAACTGTTCGGGTTTGCGACCACTATGCGGTCCGCATAGTTAAAATGCGACCGCATATGTGTAGCAGTTTTCCCATGGTGACTTTTCTTCACTTTCACACGCAATTTTACCCAGTGTTAGCTCTTTTGAATCACCTGCACTCTAACACACACTTTAAATTGCTCAATTAAACCTATCTAACAAAAGTTAAAATTTAAAGGACAAAAATGGTGTTACCACACATGGATTGCCTCCCATGAAGCGCTTGATTTAACGTCGCGGAATGACGAAGTTGGCCTTTCTTTGGGTTTACTCATTTGTCGGGCACAGACCATCTTTGAGAGCCAACTGTTCCACCAAGTATTTTTCTCCATCTGTGCCCAAGTAGTGCTTGACTCGCTAGCCATTTACTTTGAAGGTTCGGAGTGCATCCTGCGATTCTAATTCCATAGCTCCAAAAGGGGATACATTTACCACCTTGAACGGACCAGACCATTTTGATTTGAGCTTGCCCAGAAACAATTTGAGCCTTGAGTTGAAGAGTAAAACCAAGTCACCCGACTTGAACTCCCTTTTCAAGATCTTTTTGTCATGGACGAACTTCATCCTTTCTTTGTACACACCCGCACTTTCATATGCATGGAAACGGAATTCCTCCATTTCATTGAGTTGTGTTAACCTCAAATTTGCAGCTTTAGCCTAGTCCAAGTTCAACCTTTTGAAAGCCCACATGACTTTGTGCTCCAGTTCTACGGGTAGATGACAAGCCTTGTCGAAGACTAACCGATAAGGAGAAGTGCCAATAGGGGTTTTGTACGCCGTGCGGTATGCCCACAACACGTCGTCTAGCTTCCTTGACCAGTCGGTCCTATTTGCATTAACAGTCTTTGCTAGAATATTCTTTATCTCCCGGTTGGAAACTTCAACTTGGCCACTTGATTGGTTGATAAGGTTTGGCCACCTTTTGATTGATGCCATATTTCTCTAGTAACCCCCTGAAAGCCTTGTTACAGAAGTGAGACCCACCATTACTAAGAATGGCTCTAGGAGTGCCAAACCGCGTGAATATATTTTTCTTTAATAATGTGGTCACACTCCTTGCCTCATTTTTTGGTAAGGAAATTGCTTCAACCCATTTGGACACATAGTCCACAGCCACCAAGATATATTTCATACCACAAGAGCTTACAAAGGGACCCATAAAATCAATTCCCCACACATCAAAGATTTCTATCTCCATCACAAGTGCATTGGCATTTCATGCTTCTTGGAGATTGTCCTTGCCTTTGGTATTGGTCGCAAGCCTTGACCATTTGATTGGCATCATGATAAATCGACGGCCAATAATAACCACATTCAAGAACCTTTTCCGCCATTCGATTGCCCCCATGGTGACCCCCGACCGGTGAGTCGTGGCATGTCTTTATAATTGGCATAATCTCCTCTTCTGGAACACACCTTCGGATGATGTTATCAGCACAAATACGGAACAAGAATGGTTCTTCCCAATAGTATTGCCGACAATATCTTAAAAACTTCTTCTTCTTATAAGATTCCAATCTATCTAGAATAAGGTCACTAACCAAGTAGTTAGCAATATTGGCATACCAAGGAGCAAAAGTATTAGATAATGCCAATATGTGTTCATCCGGGAAAGCATCATTGATTTCAAGATCTTCCTTTGGTCTCCCTGCCTCTTCAAGCCTTGATAAATGATCGACCACTTGATTTTCCGTCCCTTTTCGATCTTTAACTTCGAAGTCGAATTTTTGCAACAACAGGACCCACCGAGTCAACCTAGGCTTTGCATCCTTCTTTGCTATAAGATAGCGAAGAGCCGCATGGTCTGTGTACACTATCACCTTGGATTCCAACAAATAAGCCCAGAATTTCTCAAAGGCATAGACAATGGCAAGAAGTTCTTGCTCAGTCACCATATAGTTCATTTGCGCACCATTGAGTGTCTTGCTTGCATAATAGACCAGGTGAAGACCCTTGTTATGATGTTGGCCAAGCACGGCCCTAATAGCTACACCACTGGCGTCACACATGAGTTCGAATGGAAGAAACCAATCAGATGTGACAATAATAGGTGCCGTGGTGAGATTTTGTTTCAATTTCTCAAATGCTTTGAAGCACTTCTCATCAAACACAAATTTTGCATCTTTATCAAGGAGTTTGCACATGGGACTTGCAATCTTGGAAAAATCCTTGATGAAACTCCTATAAAATTCGGCATTCCCCATAAAACTTTGGACAACTTTAACTGAAGTAGGTGGAGGAAGCATAGAAATGATCTCGATCTTTGCCCGGTCAACCTCTATGCCATGTTTTGAAATTTTATGCCCAAGACAATGCCTTAATCCACCATGAAGTGGCATTTCTCCCAGTTAAGCACAAGGTTGGTCTCCTCACATCTCTTGAGAACTTGTCTAAGGTTGTTAAGACAATTCTCAAAAGAGTCACCTACCACCGAAAAGTTGTCCATGAAAACCTATAGAAAATCCTCCACCATATCTAAGAAGATGGACATCATGCATCTTCAAAGGTAGCCAGAGCGTTGCATAAACCAAACGGGATCTGGCTAAAGGCAAAAGTTCCATAAGGGAAAGTGAATGTTGTCTTCTCTTGGTCCTCCAATGCTATGTTGATTTGGATGTAACCGGAATATCCATCAAGAAAGCAATAGAATGACCTTCCCGCTAGCCGATGAAGCATTTGATCAATAAACGACATAGGGAAATGGTCTTTGCATGTGGCACTGTTGAGCTTCCGATAATCCATAAACACCCTCCATCTGGTCACCGTTCTTGTTGGAATGAGCTCATTTTTGTCATTTTTAATCATGGTCATGCCTCCCTTTTTCGGCACACATTGCACCGGGTGAAAACTATAGGCAATGTTGTAGACCACCCCGGCATCCAACCACTTGATGATTTCTTTCTTTACCACCTCTTGCATGTACGGGTTTAACCGTTGTTGATGCTCTGCACATGGTTTAGTCTCATTCTCCAATTGGATCTTGTGTTTGCAAATTCCGGCAGGAATCCCTCGGATGTCAGCAATTGTCTACCCAATAGCTTGCATATGCTTCTTAAAGACATCCAACAATTGTTCTACCTACACATCATTAAACAAAGAAGAAATGATTACTGGTAAAGTATCATTTAAGCCAAAATATTTATACCTCAATTGTGGTGGAAGTGGTTTGAGCTCTAGTTGCAGTGGCTCAATAATGGAAGGTTTTGCGGGAGGAGTGGCTCTATTCTCCAAGTCGAGAGAGAGCTTCGCCGGAGCATAAGTGTAGGACCCAAGCCCATCCAATGCATTGACTAATTCCATATAGCCATCCATATCTTCACCATCGAAGTTCACCAAAATAGCCGCCAACACCTCACCGAGGCATTGTTCTTCCATCTTCATTTCAACCGCATCTTCCACTTCATCAACAACATCAATCACCGAGATGCTTTCATATTCATGTGGTAGTTTCATATCCTTACTTGCTTGGAATGTAACCTCTTTATCATTAACACAGAATTTGATCTCATTCCGTTCCGAATCCATTAGTGCTCTTCTTTTGGTAAGGAATGGTCTTCCCAAAATGATAGGGATCTCTTTGTCAACTGCACAATCAAGGATTACAAAATCGGTGGGTAAATGAAACTTTCCCACTTTTACAAGCACATCATCGACAATTCCCACCGGTTTATTTATGGAACGATCGACCATTTGCAATCTCATACTTGTGGGCCTTGGCATACCTAACCCTACTTGCTTGTAAATGACAAGAGGCATTAAGTTGATGCTAGCCCCATTATCACAAAGGGCTCTTGCAAAATCATGTGTCCTAATAGGATATGGAATGGTGAAAGCTCCCAGGTCTTTTTTCTTTTGAACGGTGGATGTTGCAGTGATGGAAATAACCTGGTGAGTCACATTCACCACTTCATTCTTGGTGGTTCTCTTCTTGGTAATAAAGTCTTTCAAATATTTAGCAAAACCCGACATCTCTTGAAATGCTTCTACAAATGGAATATTCACCGATAACTGCTTGAGAATGTCATAGAACTTTTCGAGTTTGCTATCATCAACCTTCCTAGCAAGTCTTTGAGGGAATGGAGGAGGAGGTCTATGAATAGGTGGTAGAGTTTTTGGTGTCTCTTTTACCTTTTCCTTTACCTTTTCCTGGTTTTCTTCTTCAACTTTCAACTCTTCCAGAACCTTTTCAACTTCAACAACACTTGGCTCTTCAACCAAAGCCTCATGTTTGGATTCTTCGACTTCAACCACTTGTTCACTCCCTCCTTGTAGTACCTTCCCACTCCGAGTAGTAATTGCCATGATATGAGAAGTTGGACCACTCCTACTACCCTTTGGGTTCGTAATTGTGTCACTTGGAAGTGTCCCTTTTTGCTTCGGGTTTTGTTCCCTAGAGAGATGTCTCATTTGCATCTCCAATTTTTTAATGGATGCGGTATGAGAGCCAACAAGCTCGGTCATATTCCTCATAGAAGTGTCAGACTTCTCTTGATTTTGCAATACCCGTTCAAGCATGCTTTCCAACTTGGAATCACTTGAGGAACCTTGATTTGAATATTGACCCTTTGGAGGAACATAAGGGTTGGAACTCCGATTTGAGAAGTTGTTGTTTTTGTTGTTATTCCAATTTCCTTGATGTGAGACACCATGGTCATTTCGCCACTGTTGGTTGCCTTGCCCTTGCGGGTTACGCCTCCATTGATTTTGTTGTCCTTGACCTTGGTATTGTTGCCTTTGATATCCTCCTTGAGAGTTGTTGACATAGTTTGCCTCCTCAAAGTCTTCATTTGATATGGGTTGCACATCATCCACCACATTTACCTTCTTCGTTTGGCTTTCAATGAACATCTTTGTCAACACATTGACATTGGTGGCAAGCCCTGCGATTACTTGTTCTCTCTCTTGATTTTCCTTGATCATGTTGGTCAAGGAAGGAGAACCATATGTAATTACACCTGTGGTGTCCTCTAAGTGCCAAGCTTGATTATGTTGTGCCATTTTGGCAAGGATTTGTGTGACCCTTGCAAATGTCTTGTCCATAAAAGATCCATCGGCTGCATTCTTGGATATAGATTGGTTCATAGGATCTAAACTCATGTAGAATTTCTCCAACAAGATAGAATCCGGAAAATCATGATTGGGAGACCTCACCAAATATAACTTGAATCGATCCCATGCCTCATGTAGATGTGCTCCCGGTACTTGATTGAAAATTTTTAAATTTTGTCCCCGAGCTCAGATTTCTTCCTTTGCGGTAACCATTTAGCTAAGAATGCTCGGACAAGTTCAGGCCAAGAATGAATGGAATTTGGTGGCATGTTTTGAAGCCATTTCCTTGCATCGCCAGCTAGTGAGTACTTGAACACCCTCAACCTTTGGGCATCATCAGAGACGTTGTTCTGCTTATGCATCACACACACACCCAAGAATTTTCTAAGATGTTGTGTTGGATCATCATCAGTGGAATTCCTGAAAAACCCCTCCGCTTTGAGCATTAGGAATAAACCATGTTCCGCTTTAAAAGTTGCAACACCAACAATCGGAGGTACAATAGCATTTGTATCCTTGATGTACTCATCTATGTCCGCAAAAGGATTTTCTTCCATTTCTTCCTCATGTTCGGCCATGTCTTTTTATCAACACCAAGCAAAACAAGCAAAGTGTGATGGAATAGAACAAGACGTAAAGTAAAGCACACACTAATTAATAATTTCAAAACCGTATTCCCCGGCAATAGTGCCAAAATTCGATACGCTCAAATTACACTTTAATTAAATAGTGTAAGGAGGTCGGTGTCAAATATAATAACCCAACAAGGTTGGGGTCGAATCCCACATGGAATAGGTGTTAAAAGGTTACTCGAGTAGTGTGCTACTTGACTTAGGTCGTAATTCTATTCGGTTAACTGTAACAAGAGTATGATATGATTGTGATTTGAAGAGAGAACTAATTGTAACATTGAGAATGTAAATAATTTGATTAAAAAAACCAAGATTGTGTCCTCTTTAATGAAATGTAATGCTATCGGTGTTAATATGATATATTTCTAATGGAAGGTTCTTTAGATATGCAAATAATATCTAAATGACTACCCAATATTTTCCAATAATTGGGTAGTATTTCCTCTTTATGATTTTATAAATATAAAAGAGTTGAAATTAAGAACAATCAATATATGCCAAAGAAAACTCACTTATTCCTAAGCGATTCTATTAAACAAGGTTTAAAGCCTTGAGTCTTTGATATTTACTTCTACCAAACTCTAACTCACTTTTTCAAGTAAAGAAAGAATTTAATGGCACTTGTTAATATTTGCAAACACCAAAAATAAATGAATAATGAAAAATAAATATATATAAACCAACTATTATACATATATTCAATATTAAACACTCATTAACATAACACCCATTAACATAACACCCATTTAGGGTCCACAACCTTAATATTTAAAGTTAGCTACATATGCTAAAATACAAAAAGATGAGAATATTAAATGCCATAAAGCTTACAAAGTGCAATATTTTTCACTCTAAAGCTTCCAAAAGAGAGGAATATTAAAGGGTTGGAATGTAGCTCAAAAACAAGATAAGATACCCCCACAAAACCCCAATAAATCTATTTATAGTGGCCTGAAATTCGGGACCAATTTCGGACAAAAGTACCTTTCCAGGTCAATTATGCGACCGCATATCTGTCGCATAACAAACATGTGTCCGCATTCTTGTCAAAGCCATCGCATCCTCGAACTCTAGTTTTTAGGTGGTCGTCGCATCTTGGTTATGCGGTCTGCATTGTTGATTTGAAACCGCATAGTGTCACCGCATTTTCAGCTTCAGCAACTTCCACAACGGGTTTGCGATCCATTATATGGCCCACAAACCTGTTATGCGGTCGCATAATAGACCACATTTCTTGCACCTGAATTTGGCCAACAGACTGTTGGGCTATGCGATTCCTCTGGGAAATATGCGGCTCGCATGTTATATTTGCGGTCCACATTGTTGCATCTGCGATCGCATTCTACCATTTTCTTATCCTTTTGCAGCTTTTTGTTTTCATTTCCATTTTCTCTGGCCCTTACACCTCATACACCGCAAAACATTAAAATTACATAACATAAAAGATAATTGCATTTAAAACAAGCTAAAATCTAAGCAATTTGTATTAAATGTGCCGAAATTCTCCGGCACATCATATACATAAACAAGTAGTGTTGGCTGTCTTTGATATTGAACCATTTATTGCGCTAATTTTTGCCTTTTGTCCCCAGGCAAGCACTATACAGTAGATATAGTTAGCAAAGTAATATATTTCCATGTTGCTTTGCTGGAGGATTCTATATTCGTTATACTTGTGCTTTTGATGTAAATTGAAATCCCTCTATATTTCTGATTTCCTCCTTTCAACTTTTAATTTAAGAATAAGGCTATGGAAAAGTTCTGTTGATTCACATAGGCGTACATATAACTTCAGTCATTAATCAAACTGTTCCACCAGCAAATCCTCCTACCATATATTACATAGTAATCCAAATAAAGTTGCTGATGTATGAATATGCATAGAAATGCTTTAGGCGTGATTAATAAATCATCGTGGCTATGGGTACGGTTCCTGTGGCATGGTCACGATATGTAAATCCCATTCGTGTGTGAATTTTATGTGACCCGATCATAACTTCGAACATTAATAAAATAAACATGTCGCGAATGGTGGGTGCATTTCATGTAGCGTGATTTCCGGTGTGTTCCAAAATGGCAAGTGTACGACAATCATAACTTGTTCAAGAAATAATTCCATAAATCCTAAAAGCGGCTAAATTAATTAAAAGCGGTTATATAGTTTAAAATGCACACTAGGTTCAAAACATGTATTAATCAGATAATTAGGCCAATATTAATAGTAAAGCGATCGTGCTCGAACCACGGAACCCAAGAATGCCTAACACCTTATCTCGGGTTAACATAATTCCTTACTTAGAATTTTTGGTTTCGCAGACTTTTAAATAAATTCAAAATTCTCCTCGATTTGGGATTTAAAATAAACTGATGACTTGGGACACAAAATAAATTATTCCAAGTGGCGATTCTGAAAATGAATAAAATAATTCCATTTCGAATAATGTCATTTTAATTGGAAAAACTCTCTCACATACCCCCCTTTTCGGGTGGTAAAAAGTAGGTATGACACCCGCGAGTCCTAAATTGTAATCGTTGTGTTTCTTAATAAGTACTACAATGCCTAAGTTGTGTCTCCGTGTTGGCCAAGAATTATGATTATTCTCGTGGTATTTGTTCATTGTTGAGTATTGGTTCCAGTGGAGGTTTCATTTGTGAAGTTAACTGTTGGTACAAGTTTGGTTATTGCTGATTCCCTTGCCGGGGCATATTTAAATTCCTACTAGTGGTTTTGTTGCCGGGATGTATTTAATTTTTCCTGTTGGTTCCCTTGCCGGGATGTGTTTATTCTTATTGTTGATTCCTTTGCCGGGATATTGTTGTTTCCTTATTGTTCCCTTGTCGAGATTCTTTTGTGTTAGTGTTGATTTGTATATTGGGATCGGGTTGCACGCCGCAATAATATATGGGATCGGGTTGCACACCATAACATGGAGTAATAAGGAAGAACAATAGGGGTTGGGTTGCACGCTGCAACAGTGATATATGATTTGGACCGGGTTGCACACCGCAACAGTGTTATATGATTTGGATCGGGTTGCGTGCCGCAACAATAATGAATAAAAGTGGATATTAATTCGTTACTGTTTCCTTATTCTTACTGATGTAAACTTTAAGATGTTCTTTATGCTTTTCTCCTGAGTTACTGTTGGTACTTGATATTCCCCGCAGTACGTTCCCCTTTCCATATTTAACTGCTAATTTCCGTTATTATTACTTGCCGTATATGCTTTAACTGCACAGGTTTATTCGGTAGTCTTGTCCTAGCCTCGTCACTACTTTGCCGAGGTTAGGCTTGACACTTACCAGCACATGGGGTCGATTGTGCTAATACTACACTTTGCACTGTGTGCAGATCTCAGTACCGGAGCTTTTGGACCTTAGAGTGGTTGCTGCCTTCAGTCCAGCGGAGACTCGAGGTAGCCCTGCAGACGTCCGCAGGCCTTGGCATCCCCTTCCATCTTTATATTATGTTTTCATTTATTTTAGAGACATATTGTATTTTTCTTTCCAGACAACTGTTTGTAGTATTTGTAGATGTTCCGTGATATTGTGACACCAGTTCTGGGTAGAGATGTATTTTGAATGTTTCGTAATAGTATTTGGCTAAGTTATCAGATTTCATCTTCCGCATTTCTTTTATTATTATTTTTATTTCGCTTTCGATTCCATGTTAATTTGAAATTTGTTAAAAGGTTAGGAAAAAGGATAATAAAATCTATAACGCTCGGCTTGCCTAGCTTTCACGAGTAGGCTTCATCACGACTCCCGATGGTGGGAAGT